AGCATGGGGGTGAGTAGAAAATGAAGGCTAATCATGTTTTGGGTGTACTATTCCTTTAAGGTGCCTCGAAGGCTAGTGGAATGTAGATGTATTCTGACAAATTATGTCAGAATGGACCACTTGTGGCTTATTTGACACAACAGTAGACTCAGAGACTCAGAGATTAGATCTATAGAGAGCAATATGCTTTGTCTGTGTTGAGAAAAGCCTTCTGGGCTTGATCTGGTAGTGCAAAGGACACTGACTGGATTTGAGGAGGTTTGTCACTCCAAACATCAAATAACATCCTTAAATATCTACAGTATACAGTGAAGGGCTCATTATGCTTGATGCAGAGACATTCCGCATGGAAAATTAGTCACCTGTCAAAGCCTCTGCAGCTTTTATACTCTGTGCTTCTTTCCCTCTGTTCGCCTCACTACACGAGGAAGTGGAAAACACAGCTGTTTACAACAACATGATATTTAGTTTATGAAATATTTTCGTGTTGAAGGCTTTGTATGAATGTGGGACCAGCTAATAAATTTCCCAGAGGTGCATCATACAAAGTTTATTTTTCTTAATGTATCTATGTTGTTCAGCGTCCTGTGTCCTTCTCTCTTCAGCTCGCCTCAAAGGCTGCAGCAAAAATGTACGCCAGTGGACTGACTTCATCAGAAAAAAAGTGCCATTATGAGAAGAAAAATGGAAGAGCTGTTTGTTACCCTTGTACAGACGAATGACCAGTAGCTCCAGTTAATAGCTGTTATATTGAGTTGCTCAAGCAAGACTCCTTTTTGGTTTTGGAAATAGAAATAACTGTGTTTTATTTTCTAAAAGTTCAGGTAAGCTGTCCATGAATTGCATGTTACCCACTGACAACATTTAGCCATTTGTTTTTTTTGTTTTTTTATTCTCATGTCTGCTTTGACTTCCTATGCAAAATCCTGGTAACGTTGTCTGATTTCGCTTATGCAGTGGAGGGCCATTTTACTAAGGGACAAATCAAGGTTGCTGATTGGTCAGTTCCTAACGTGCCTCATTGGTTGATTCACAGGTGGTGCCACATCAATTTATCAAACTTGGATAAATAAAGCAAGCGTTTTCGTAGAAACCATGACCAAAACCATGTTCCTTTAATTAGAGCAAAATAAATTCTAAATCAGAATATGGACAATACTTGATCTACAAAACATACATGTTATACCAGTCTTGCATAGGCTATCCGTTTTACCAAAATTCTGAGTAATTTATTATTATTTTTTTTTAGCATTTTGGTCCATGTGTGAAAGGCTGGGACACCCCTATTATTCATCCTTGGTAATCCCACAGAGCCATTTTATGGGTCTTGATTATTTTTACACTTTGTTGAACTGAGCAAGTTGTTTTTAATATAAAAGTTAATTAAAGCAGATTCATGGCAATTATTTGGATTCATATCTACACAGAGACCAAATGACAGAATGAGACTGTGACAAGCATTACAGGATTCTGTGTGACCATTTATTTATCAAATTCACTGCAAATTACATGCTTTATTAAAACATGCCTATTTAATTTCATAGAATTATCTTTTTTGTTTTAATAAAAGTATTGTTGAATTTTGTGTCAAACTGGAACAGCAAAAAAAACATAGTATATTTGCTGTTTTTCTTTTTAAGTAAAAATTAACATTAACAAACAAATAACATGTTTTATATATTAAGAGCAAGGGCTTAGCAGCAATTCATCATCTTAACAGCCCGAGGCAGAATTTCTTTTGTTCTAAGACCTAAAAGACAAGTACAACTCTGGTTATTTAATCAACAAATAAAGCAAATGCTTTTTATATACTAATTATGCGAAGCCTGGGTACTTTTTTAAGGGGTTTTACAGATTTAAAGAAGTTTATTAACTCAAAGCAAAGAAAAAAATTTATTCTGTAATAAAAAATGTTCAGATCCAGTGACTAGAATAAAACAAATCTTTATCTTTGGAGGATCTTTTGCTCTAAATTCAAAGAGAATCATTTAACAACCTCTGCAGTAAAAATGTACCTTAAAGTGGCAAAGGGTTTTGGATTCCAGGCTTTGCATGATAGTAAAAAAAATGAACTCTGTGGGAGAGAAATACACTATTTTGAAAAATTAAAGGCTTAAGATATTGAAAAACCCTTGACATTATAAAGAAAGAAGAAAGCATCAAGAAAAACTTCATCTAAGGTCCTCTAAAACCTGAACATCAAAGCAACAGCAGAAGATTTTTTTTTTTTTTTTCCGGGAAAACATCAGACTTTTTAGTTTATCCTTTTAATCTGCCTTAATATGGAGTCCATCATGCCATGAGATGTCTTGTTTCATCAGCTTCTTCAGTGATCGTACGTGCTCTTTGGATTGATAGAATCATCTTGTGTGCTCTGTAAAATATGTTGAGAGCAGGGAAATAACCAGCAATGGGTGGTGAGGAAGTGGAAAAAGTCTTTGATAAAGAATTCCTGCTCGCAAACAGAAAAACCTCTGTTACATAAAAAAGATGTACAAAAAAATACTAAATTATTCTGATATGAAAAGGTTTCTTTTGAGACTTTACAGATTCTTAACGCTTAAACACAGAAGAAATTGCTAAAAATATAAAATAAAAGAAAGTGTTTAATTATTCCAGAAAAATCACCATTGTAACTGATAGCAAGAATTGTGCAATTATTGAAATCTCTGATTATGTAGCTATGAACTGCATTAATAAAACAAAACTGTGAGGCTACAAGTTTGAATTTAGATTTTACTAACGCTAAAGTTTAAAGGTATAGTAAAGGATGTTGTTTTTCTGGGTGGATCATCAAAATAACTGGTCCTCCTATTTGTAAATCATCCTGGTAATATGTTTACATAAGGCCTTCCTACATTCTTGCCCCCATTTTCACGTACCGATGGAGAGTCTGACACAGTGGAAAAATTGCAAACCTTGTTTTGGAAAGTAAGGTTGTATGAGCGATGCAAACAACAACTTTTAAAGAGAGTATACACAAGGAGAAATGGGCTCCTGCATGTGTTTAATAGGCATTCTCTCTTGGGATCAGGCCAGGGTTCTGCATGTGCATTTTTTTTTAAGCTGAGAAGGCAGGTCTTTTTCTTTTTATTTCGAAAATTCTCCACTGTACCTTTAATTGTGGTATGCTAGGAGGTGTGTGGTGTCATGTATTGCAAGCTAGGAGGTGTGTGATGTCATGTATTGCAAGCTAGGAGGTGTGTGATGTCATGTATTGCAAGCTAGGTGTGTGATGTCATGTACATACAGTCAAATTTTGAATTAATTTGACTGTATGATCTGGTTGAACTGTAAAGTGCCTAGATGACATGTGTTGTGAATTTGGCACTATATAAATAAACCGAATTGAATTGAATTGAATTGTGGATACCTTTGGATGTGGTAATACCTCAAACTTACTCCTTTCTAGACGTCTGATCCCACCTTGGTTTCAATTTACAGCTTCCTGAAGGTAAAATGTTTATCTGTTAAAACTATAAAACACAAATAAGAAACACTGTAGGAATGTTCAGTCATCAGAAATTTCAGGAAGCAGACAACTGCTTTAGTGTCTCACAGATGAACGTGTTTAGTTGGAAAATGTGTGTATTAACCCCAGAACAAGTGCAAAAGACCATGTGGAGTTCTTGGTTGAATTTACTGTCATTATTCACAGTTAAAACAAGACCTGGAAAAACATGAGCATAAAGGCCACTCTGCAAGGAAGAAGCCATTAATCCTGAAGGCAACATTAAAAGAAACATTACATTGGTAAAAACATTCAAGTCTTGTGCTGCTTAATGTGGCTGCATACTGGAGTAGCTCTACTGGAGTATTTTCTAATTTGAATTATCATAAATGTGGCGAAAAATTTGGGAACTTGCAAGCTGGAAAACACCACCACAGCTCCAAAGCATAGAGGTGGCAGAATGGAGATGTGTTATTTGTGTTATTTTTACAAATTTTGTTTGTTTTTTCTATGAGAGGGATCAAGTGTACTTCACAAGATGTCAGCAGAAGGACAAAAAAATTATGTGGAAATATTGAGGCATCAAAGTCTTTTAGTAGAGGCCATTAAAAAGCTCTGATCTAAATCCTATTGAGCATTTCATGTCTAAAAAGATCTGTGAACGTTTCCCTCATCTCCTGATTCTCAGAAAGCTTTTACTGTTTTTTTCTTGTTCGCCAGCCCTGATGAA